ATAGCATGTAAACAATTAGGGACAACATGGTTAAAGGAGAGAGTTATGAGTGCTTGAGCAGAACTAGGGTACAGTAAGTTGATGTACCAGCAAAAGACAAGCACTCAAAACAGAAATGATACACTTACCACAGCACGCCGAGGGGGTCACGTCAGACAGCATAGTTATATTATCTAATGGTTTATGGACATAAAGCTCAAAAATAGATAATCTATGTTGAGTTTTTAGAACAAACCATCGACTCCCTTTTTGGCAAACTTTGACAGTACTATTGACTAGCCAATCTGCAATACACAAACCTAGTGTAGCACAGTGATGTAGCCTAATCCGTTGGGCTGATTGGGCGAATTAATTCTTGTGGCTCCTCCTCATCCTTGGGTAACATATTGTAAACAATGCAACCAAGCCAGAAATATATGGGCCATTTTGGAAGGCAATTACAAATGACGTATTTCGTAGTTCAGTTTGGAGAACATGTTGCACTGTTCCAAACTATGCTTTGTCCTGCACTCACTCAGCACAGCAGTATCTCAAGTTTTGAGGAATCGACAGCAGTATCTCAAGTTTTGAGGAATCGAGACCAGATTTCTGTCATTTCTATTTACATATAAACGTATTACAATATTTGGCATCTTAATATAACACACCCTCCATCAGTCAGTCAGACAGACAGTTCTGTAGTGAGAACATAGGGGGTGACAAACAGAGAAGACATGCAGGGCTGTTGGCCTGTGTACAGCTACAGTGTGAATCAGGCAAACTGAAAACAAGTTATTGCGGGTATAACAACCACAATCCGCTGCCTCCAGGAAGCTCAGACAAACAACAACACCCCGACTACCACAAACATTTTAGGTCATGAAAACCCGGCAGAGGATTTGGAGCGGTGTACAGGGTGCAGACTTCGATAGGCACCCAGTCCTTATGCTCTCACTGTGGGCGTCCATGCTGCTGGAGAGCTGCAGCTTCTGTCAGCTGCACACTAAAGTCCTCACAGCTGCATGGACACACTGTCTCCAGTTATTACATTTAAAAAGGACATCAATGAAACAGTCAGAGCTTTAACACAGCACACAGACGATGCAGTAATTCCTCCAACCTCTAAAACACAGACACCTAAATACTGTAACTGCCGTATGTCTGCTGATGACAGATGGTTCATACTTGTCTCACATAACTGCAAAGAGACCGTTTCAGTTATATTTAAATACATAAATAAATATCTACACATCACACAAAACAAGCTTGACTTCTTGAATGAATGCCAGTATTCAGCCTTAAAAAACAGTTGAGGGCCATCATGGCTGACAAGAACACTGAGGAGGGTTTATTGTACATGTGGCACAATAAGGACTCACATGGTAAGTTCAGCACTTCTATACAGCAGTCATACCACTCTGCTCTCTGACTTTCTCTTACTAATACAAATACTGTGTGCATTCTTCATAATAGTTCAGGATCTCTGCTGCTGTTTTTTTAAATACATACTCACACAAATAAGAAAATCAGCAGTTCAGCTTTTTTTAACCATGCGCCACAACTATGGAATTCCCTACGCACGGTAATACGAGATGTGAGTTATATGAACTGAAAATATATTAAATAATATTAAATATACCTTTAACTGTCACTTTTCTTTGCTTTATTCTCATGTTTTATTATTCTTAGCATTCCTGTCCTTACTATTTACTGCCTCTTTTATTATCCTTATGTGGTTTTGAGCCCAAATGTTTTTACTGTGTCACTAACAACTGAGAAGTTTCTCCAAATGCCAGACTTGCCTTGCAAGTGCTGTGGATAACTTGTACAGTAGTACATGAGACAGATAATCTGTGAAAGAATCAGGTCCCTCTGGCTCCTCCTAGTGCTAGTAATGGCATTTGGAAAAATCTACCAGGCCTGAACGAAAACAACCAATCAGAGCCAAGAAAGATGGTTCCAGGTCATAAAATACTGAAAAGACTTTTTGGGTTGGGGGCTTGAAGATAGTTGATTAAGTCTTATTCCCAAAGCGTCAGTATTTCTTGACTCTGATTAATTGTTTTTGTTCAGACAGGGTGGATTCTTATAAATACCATTAGGAGCACTAGGAGGAGCCAGAGGAACCTGATTTTTTTTTTCAGATTATCTGTCTCATGTACTACTGTCAGGATATAGCGAAGGTTTGAACCAACCTGTAACCGAGACACACCGACAAGCCCGGCTCTGGTCTGACTGGGATTTTCCAGATCAAGACTCATATGGTACACTCACACACAGTCACAGCTGCACGGTCCAGCTGCAGCAGTGGTTTGATGAATGATAATATCAGAAGTCTACAGTGCTGTGTGTCAGAGTGCAGAGAGACTTACTGTTCATTTACGACAAAGATGCAGTTGTCCTGGGAGGGGATGCCTGACACCGGGTGCTTACAGGTCACCTTTCGCTCATTGTGACTGCAGGGGAAAGATAGAGCGAGATACAGGTAGAGAAAAAGACAAAACAAGGGAGAGAGAGAAAGCATTACATCACTGCAACAACAGCAAAACAGTTGAAACGTGTGAAAATGGACAGAGAGCTGAGGACACATGAGGTTTTACTACTGGAAAAGTACCACATCTGCATCATAAACCTTAAAAAACAAAACAGTAAATCAGCATTGCTGCACCTCAACAAACTCACTCACACACACACCTGTTGTGGGTGACGCTAAACTTCAGCATAATGTCCTGAGTGGTGAAAAAAAATAAAATACAGTATACACAAGACTGAAAAATGAACAATCTTCTTCCAAAACAGTCCAGACCAGTCCACAGCACAGTGGATAGTGTGAGAGGGACTATGGGAGAACAACAGTGAACTGATAGACTCCCTCTCTCCCTCTTTCTATCCCCCTTTTCCTCTTTTCCTTCTGCGTTTCTCCTCCCACCACGCCTTCATTCATCTTTTTTCTATCTTTCCGTTTTAGCTCTTATTGCCTTTTCTGTTCTTGACCTTGAAAATTATAAATAAATAAATAAATAAATAAATAAATAAATAAATAAATTAATCAAAATTTTCTGGCACATTCCGCACATTTCATTTCTGACAATAGATCTTCATAAATGTTACACACTGGACCTTTAAAATTCAGATCCAACCCAAGGAGCAGCAGCTGCCCTGATTGGCCAGCTGTTATGTGCTTGTCCTATCTTATACCTCCATTTCTTTAAGCACAGTACATCTTCCATACTATTTATTTATCATCACTCTCACACATTTTCTTTTCACCGTCTCTCGCTCTTCTGTCTCCTTAGTCTTTTATTCTCGCTCTCTTTGCGATCCCCTTATTTCTACCTCGATTACTTTCTCTGTTACTTTACTCCTCTAGATTCTTCTCCTCTCTTTCCTGCATCCTCTCCCCTGTTTTCTCCCTCTCTCTATCCCATCGTCACATGCTGCGTCACAAGAAAACTGCTGACTCCTTCTCACAAAACGGAGTTTTGTTATCGACCCTGAAGACATGATGGCAATGATAATGAAGTTGTGGTTGTTTGTAACACGTTTACAGACTGCCTAAACAAATCCTAATCTAGACCAGATCCCCTCCCTGATCACTCAGATACGCTTCATTAATGAGAGAACTACTTAGTGTACCATGTAGTTTATGACATTGGAAGGAAAAAACAATATCTTAACACAAACACACACACACACACACACACACACACACACAGTATATGGGACAGAGTCTCTTTATACGCAGGAGGAGGAGGAGGTGACGCAAATGCTGACAGAGTGAAAGAGAGGAAGAATATAATTTTTTCCTCTTAATTATAAACACTATTAAGTGATGGAATTACAAATTATGGCTGCCACAAACTAATTTTACTGTGGGTATGGTTTGACACGTTTAACACGTTTGTGCAGCAGATTTTGTAGACTACTAGGCTGAGATGCTGACTTTTCCCATACTGTTCATGACAAAGAGGAATTGTTGTAAAACAATGAATACAGTTTTCTGAATGTCACAAACTCCTTCAAATGATTAAAAATCAAAATGAACCACTGCACACTGGAATGACGCATTTCACCTGCAGCTTCCCCAGGTTGGCCAGCAACACCTGGAAAGGATTGTTTGAATGATCAGAATGTGATCCAAAGAAGACTGAACAGTCTCAAAAAGCTGCATCAGTGAATCTTTTCAGTTGCCATTCATGTGCAGGAAGTCAGCATCTCAGCCAGAAAATGAACATGAATGCACCCAGTAAATTACATTGGAATGAATGATGTGCCATCTTGGAAAACAGTATCCAGTTATCTTTTATGCCATGTTATGTTATGTTATGTATTCATACACACACAGTACTTATACATTCAAAACTTAAATTAGAGAGTGGCTGAATTTTTCCCTCTTTGTTATGTTTGTTATGATCTTGGAGGGACGGTATTACAAATGGAGGGTCTAAAAACATACAATAAGGCTGGGGGGAGGATCTTGAATTTTTTTAGTTCACTAAAAAGCTGCAATAATGCATGGAGAGACACCACTGGTACATGAGAAACTGACCCTTTCTGAATATCGTCTATTTATTTGCCTTTACTATTGTTATTAACAAATGATTATTTATCAAAAATCTCATTGTGTAAATATTTGGTGAAAGCACCAATAGTGGTGCGTACAATATTGTTCAACCTATATCGAAGGATTTGGTTAAAAAAATGTATTTAGTCCATATCGCTCAGCCCTGGGTGTTATAGATCAACTGCTTCATATCGTGTGTGTGCATGTATCTCTGTGTATTCATTTTAGCCATTAGTATTATTCCCACGCTTGTTACCATGACATATAGTAAAAATGCATGTCATGAATATTCATATCAGTCAAATAAAAAGGTGAGTAGTCTGACTGTTTTACCCTCGGCTCTGACACCTGAGTGCAAATCCTTAAATAAACTCAGGGGCTCTCTGGGGGGGTCAGCATGTGTCGGCAGCAGATGGAGGCTGAGCCTGTACACTGCTTTCACACCCACATCTGGGGACGCCAGATGTGCGGGAGCTGGAGGGAGGGGCAGAGGGCCTCCTCCTGGGTCTAATCTAGCCAACCGTGCAGCACCATAGCTGGGATTGCTCTGCTGCTTCGGTCCCGTGCAGCTGGAGAAGAGCCAGGCCAGAGGCCTGCAGAGGCCAGTCGGCATGGGCTAGAACACCGTCAGTTTAACACACACGCACAAATATGTCTGTGTGAAAAAAAGAGAATCTACAAAAGCGCTCGTTGTTTCATCTGTCTTGTAAAGTCAAACACAGACTTATAGCTCAAAATAATAAAGAGAACATCTGTCACATTGTGTGATACTAGATCTTTAAATCTAAAAAAAACAGGACTAGAAACAGATCTGCCTCTGATAACAAGACAGCACAGTGAAGGAGCAAAGCATCATAAAAAAATGACAAGTTGTGAATAAACCATCAGGATGACTTTCAACAGGCTATCACCTGCAACTTAAAGCAGCATTTCAAACCAGAAGCATTATTAGAGCTTCAGATACGCAGCCAGACAAATCACAGCAGCGCGTTGAGCCGGTGGACCCAATGTGAACTGTGCCTTATCCAATTTTACCTACGCTCACATCTCTGCCGCTCCCCTGCAAGGCTTGACACAGCTGAGATGAGACAGGAAGGATTATCTCAGTCACCTTGAGTCATGAAAGACACAGGTTCATATTCTTGTAATCACAAGACAAATATTTAAACATGAGCAGCAACAGGCAGTGATGGCATTAAATGCTAAGTTTCATTCAATGACAGAGGTTAACCAAGAAGACAGTCACACACACTAATCCAATGCAGCGTTGTGCTTGAAGTTGTTGTTAACAGCCAATGAACCTGTTATCTTATAAATGTTGCTTTAATTGTGGATGCCAAAAATCATCCTTCATGTGGAAAATGTTTTTACTCCTGATGAACAAACGATGCCACATGCACTAATGTCAGCTTCTTGTGCATCACTGCACCACAAAAGCTCTACTTAACTGCTGATTAATTTAATAGAAATGAATTATTGCTCCTTACACAATGTCCTTTGCATGATTTTTCTTCAACCCACCATGTGGGAAAACGACAAGAAACAAACACAAGCAGCTCTCTCTTTCATTACTTTAACCTACATATGAAAAGGTTAAAGTCTAATTAAAAGAACGTTTAGCCATTCTTTTTGTAGTCAAAAATAATGTCGATAGGTTTTTCTAATGTGTTGTTAATAAGTTCTTAACATTAAAATGAAGAATAAAAACAGTCTTATATCAGAAATGCTCCTTTTCAACATGATTTGTATCTGGAAACAAATCAAATCCAGTTATAATCTTAATTCCATATCCTCTGCATTACCCATAGATAGAAACCCCACTTTTGCCCCGTCTGGTTTGGGTGGAGCCTTTTCTAAGTGGAATCAGAAGGGTATTAAATGTATTGGAGATCTGTATATACAAGGTGTATTTGCCTCGTTTTCTCAATTACAGCAGCAATTTGGATTGGAAAATAATAATTTCTTTCAATATCTGCAAATCAGGGACTATGTACGTAGACATTTGGAGGATTTTCAGACCGAATCAAAAACATTAATAGATGACTGTCTGAAATTGCCAATAAATGAACCTAAATTGATAACACGTATCTATAATAATCTCCTGTCATTAAGTCCCCCCCCTGCCCATATACATAGACGCAAATGGGAGAAAGAATTTGGCGAACCAATCTCAGATGATCTATGGGACAGAGCCCTTGAGAAGATCAACACCTGTTCACACACTGCAAGACATTGTCTTATTCAATTTAAAATTATACACATGCTCCACTTCTCAAAGGAAAAATTACATAAAATATACCCAGAAGTATCACCTGTGTGTGATAAATGCAAATCTTCCACTGCAACCCATCTTCATAGTTATGCACTATGCCCAAAAATTTCCTCTTTCTGGTCTGGTGTTTTTAGTATAATGTCCGAGGTTATGAGATTTGTGATAAAGCCAGAACCCTTACTTATTATTCTTGGGGTGTCTGAAACCTTTAAAAAATTAAACAAAGCACAACAATGTTTTATTTCATATGGTCTTATAATAGTGAAAAAATTGATTCTTACGTTATGGAAGAGTGTAAACACACCAACATTTAAGATGTGGCTAGAGGAATTAACTAATACACTCCATTTGGAAAGAATAAGATATGTTCTGAAAGACAGACTCCAACATTTTGAAGCAACTTGGCAACCTCTTGTACAGTACCTTGCTAATACGAACCCAACTTAATATTCAGTCTCCTATATGCATTGTAGGGTTCTCGTGATATTTTCCATGCGGGTCTTCTCCAGGGGGTGGGGGGTGTTTTTTTTTTGTTAACCTGTTATGTTCTGTTTCTGTTATCTCTGTTTACATGTTCTGTAATTATTATGTTTGTATGTTTGTATTATAAATGCTCAATA